AAAGATGAGCAAGAGTTTTAAGAAGGTTCACCTGGCTGTGACAAGTTGCCTTCAGAGAGGTAATGCGAGGTTTCCAGGATAACCTAAGGAAGACCTAGAAACCTTACTGTATCAAGTTCAGGGATACGCGAGCCATAGAGGTACAAAGGATGATCAGAGATGACTGTTTAGTAAAAGTAATTTGGCAAGTTTTAGTAGTGGAAAATTTAAACCCATGCATGGTGGTCCAATGGGAAACATGGTTGACCGCATGCTGGAGAAACTGTAATGAGGTGACAGTCAGCGCCTGCACAAGCAATAGCAAAGTTATCAACATAGAGGGATGACCAAATATTGGATGGAAGAGAGGCCAAATCATTTATAGCAAGGAGAAAAAGCATTGTGCTCAGAACACATCCCTGGGGGACACCTTCAGCTTGGACAAAGTCTGGGGACAGCATATTATTAACCCAAACATGGAAATGTCTGTCAGTTAAGAATTTCTTAAGGAAGGATGGTAGATTGCCTCTGAGGCCTAAGGAGTGGGCTTGGGCCAAAATATTATACCTCCAAGTTGTGTCATATGCCTTCTCCAGATGAAAAAATGTGGCAGTAATCAAGTGGTTATTTGCAAAGGCATTACGAACATATGCATCCAAGCGTAGTAAGGGGTCTATGGTAGAACGGCCCTTACGAAAGCCATATTGACTAGTGTAGAGACTGTTGTCTCTAAATACCACATTAAACGTCGATTTACCAGACGTTCCATCACTTTACAAACTGCACTAGCAAGAGCAATGGGATGATAGTGGGAGGCATCAAGTCCCATAGTACCCAGCTTGCAGAAAGGGAGAACAATGGCTGATTTCCACAGCTGGGGAAGAACTCTTTGTGACCAAATAAGATTGAAGAGGTGTTAGAGTACTACAAGGGCTGACTGATGTAAATGTTGTAACATCCAAATATGAATGCCATCAGGCCCAGCTGCCAATGATCAGCAAGCTGAGAGTATTGCCTCCAGTTCCCAAAGTGTAAAAGGCACATTATACTGCTCTTCTCTGAGAGAATTAAAGTCCAAGGGTACTAACTCTCTGGCAGACTTTGAGGAAAGAAACGAGGGGCATAGATGGAGCCCCCCAGAAATACGGACCAGATGAGTGCCAATTTCAATGGCAACGTCAAGAGGGGTTTGCTATATCAACACCAGCGAGCCGTAGAACAGGAGCCAGGTCAGGAGAGTATCACTCAGTTTCCTCACTTTTTTCCAGACTGCACTCAGAGGAAGCAGAGGCGATGGTGGAAACAACCTTGCTAGCAAGTGCGCTTAGCATCACGGATGACACAGCGAGCGATTGCATGCTTCTGCTTAAAATCAAGAAGTCTCATCGGTTGTATTGTACCAGTACCTGCATTTCAAACGTACTGCACCAGCAGGAGACCACCAAGGCACTCACTTTTCAGAATGCCTGCCTGAGGTTTGGGGCATAGAATAAGAAGCTGCTGTTAAAACTGATGTTGAGAAGAGGTGTAGGAGCTCATCAATGGAGGATGAAGAAGGAACCTCACTAAAAGCAGTGAGTAAAGGTCTCAATTTGCCAGCGAGAGCTACGGAAAGGTGGTGAACATAAAGAAGAATGATCGCCATCATGCAAGTCCTGTATAACAGACCAGGCGAAGTCTAGTGCAGTGGAGGAAGAGCAGACCGACAGATCGATGCAAGAGACTATGAGTACGAGGATCAAAATGGGTGGGAGTACCCGCATTTAAAACATGCAGGGGGCAAGAGGCGAGAAAAGCCTCCAACTGGATGCCACGCGAGTCACAGTAAGACCCCCCCCCCGAGGAAATGGTGGGCATTAAAATCGCCAAGTAACAGAAGTGGCGGTGGTGGTAAGGATGAAAGAAGAAAGGCAAAATCTGAGATAGAAAATGCTCGAGATACAAAGAACATTGTAAACCACTTATTCAAGTGGATACGGGCTGCAGTATAATGCAGCGAGGTATGGACAAATAGTTGACAGCATGGAATATCATTGCGTAGAAGAAGGGCACTTTCATTAAAGGTCCGATCTGAGAAAGGATCCGAAGAATACAAATTATAGCCTAAGATAGGTTGGAAAACAGCCGAGTGTAATTTTGCTTCTTGTAAGCAAACAAACGGAAAAACCTGGAGAGCAACATCTGAAGCTCACTCGATTACCCGAGGCCGCGGATATTCCACTGTAAATAGGCCATGATTGGCAATGAGGAAAATACCAGGAATCCATAGGGAAGGTCACCTACAGACTAGAGGGGTTAGAAAAGTCAAAATGCAGTGGCACCGGAAGACGTTCAAGCAGCGAAGGAATGAAGCCTTGCGAAGAATGGAGTTGTGGAGATGGAGGAGACGGAAGAGAAGGAACAGGAGGTGGATCAGTGTCCATTGAAGGTTTAGTCTCTGCAATATATTCTGAAGGGACGATTCGTATAAGGTGTCATACGAGGTCTTGTTGATACTGAGGCTTGTGAGGAAGGACGCGAAGATGAGAGAAGAGACTGAGGTGTTGTAATAGGGACGTCAGATCCCAGGACGGCAAAAGAATTATACTGGAGTGGCTATGGGAGGGGTAACCACAGAGGATGGGACCCCAGAAGTGGGGGGGATGTTTTGAAACACGAGAAAAAGAAACACCGGGTAGTCTCCCTTGGAGGCGGAGATGAGAAACTGCCATAGCATAAGGGAGCCCTCCTGCCTCTTTGAGGCAAAGGATTTCACGCTCATTTAAGTAGACCTGGTAACGGCGAGCCTCATGACAATTAAGGCAAGAGGGAGGTCAACCGCAAGACATTAGAATGGTCGTCGGCACAACAGACTGGGCATTCAGCTATAGATCTGCAATATTTCGCTGGGTGACCGAAACGCCAGCAATTTCTACACTGTTGTGGTGTAGGTATCACCTTTCGAACTTGTAACCGATGTCTGGCAACAGAGGATGGGAGTTCACAGCTGTCAAAAGTTAATCAAGCCACATTGCAAGGGTATCGTCTCTGCCCGCGGGCAGGAAGGACATAAGTGTCTACTTTGAGGATTTGAAGATCCAGGAGTTCCAGCTGTTCAAGAATGTCATTGCCAAATGTCTGAAAATTCTATTGGACTATGGTATGGGGCAGAATGACAGTCCCTACAGATTTGGGGAGAAAGATGTTTTTCCATAGTCATAGCAGTAGTATCGATATATGAAAGGAAAGATCATGAGCTTGGATAGCATTCTAGACAGTGAGGATGCGCTGGAGAGCATGAAATGAAATCTCTACCAACATGGCGCAGGAGAGCTTTGCCAATACTATGGTTGGAAAGATAGGCAGTAGAAGTCGGTCTTAAAGAATTTAGTCCATTGTGCAGTCCGAAACAGTGTGTGTGGAGATGGAGTGCATGACGTGTCCGTCTTTTCCGAGTAGAATGGGAAGGTAACAAAGCAACATAATCAGGAGATTGTCGTTGGCGTTGAGAAGTGGGACCAGAGTTGGTCGGACATGGGACAGGCTGGCAATTTGAAAATTGCAGTACTGTAGAGGGAGGGGCCGGAAGCATAGTGAAAGGAGGGCGGAGGTCAGACAAATCAGAGAAGTCAGTTGAGACCCTGGTACCTGAAGCTGGTGATGAAACGGCACCAGCAAGAGGTACAGGGGCATCAGTTGTGTCCAAAGAGTGGTCAAAATACAAGGCAGGGTCAGAATGGGTGCAGTATCAGTAAGGGGCCCAGGGGTAGAGGTTATGGATTAGGGCTTCCATGGTTAGGTTACTTTTTTGTTAAAAAAAAAAAAAAAAGGGGGGGGGGGCAGGGAGAATAGTTCCTGGGAAAGGAATGAAAAGACCGAAACACCCCCGCGCCAAGAAGGACTCAAACAGCAAGTAGTGCAGATGCGGCATGGAAACCCGTACCATACCTACCCTTCATGCAGTAAAACCAGGAAAACAGCCTCACATTGTGAGCTACCTTGGTGGACAAAAGAGAGGTGCGGATATCCAAAAGCATACCTCCTTTGGCACCACCCCAGAATCCAAAGCGGCCTCAGAAAACCCCATCGCTGAAAGACACCCAAAGCCAACCCCCGGAAGACTGGAGAGGGAACGGGATATCCCCAGGAGACCCAGATTCCACAGCAAACTACACCACTGCCCAAGAACCTGGGATTGACCCCCGTAACCCCCTTTCCCCCACCTAGGAACTAGTAGGCCTGTGGAAAGAATCCCAAAGGCCAAAAAAAAGGAAGGGAATAGGGAGGGATGGGGGGGTGGGGGGGGGGGGGGGGGGGGGGGGGGAGGAGGAAGGAAAAAGGGAGGTTGGGATAGAGAAGGGGGGATTGGGGGTAATTAGGTTCGGTCTGAGGAAGGAGACCAACAGGTTAATTCCTCAGACCAAGAGCCTCTTCACCACGCCAAGGAGCCCCCCTTGAAGAGGAATGACCTAGCAGTGCTGTCTGGGAACACTGCTGCAAAATCAACACCATCAGAGGAGTTAGACCAGTGTAAGCTGCAACAGCACGAGAAAGACCAGAAGTAGAGGAAAAAAATAAAGCAGTTGTAGATATTTCAGCTTTCATGGCAGTGTGGAAGAACAGACTCAAACTGTCCCAACCTCCCACCAGGGTGAAGAGTATAACAGGCATAAAGGAAGTTTAATCAAAGTCAGTATAATTATCATAATCATTAATTGCTAAACCCACAAGGGTTATACACCACTGCAAGGTAGGGCATGCTGAACGCTTAATATGTTCAATCAGAGACTAGTCAGGGTGGAGAGTTTAACAGAAGTAGAGTTCTTAAGGGCAGTGTGAAAGTGCAATAAATTGTAAAATAAAAAAGAAGGGCTAAACCCACCAGGATCATACAGCACTGCTGTCAAGTTAAATAAGGATAAAGAGGACATAAAAGCTATAATATACTTTCACCTTAAGAGCATAATTTCTTTTCATGTAGAGATAAAAATTTTACTAGATAAAATGTCAAGTATTTTAAAACTTGTATTTTCTCTTTACAGACCTACAGGCTTCCCTTACCTACTGACTGCATCTATGCTTGGTGAGGCATGTACACGTTCCATCTCCAGTCTAGTGGTGTTGCCTTTCATACAAGAAATGTGGACATTTGTAACTTATAGCCTGTGCTTACCTCTAAGTACAAAACTAATTTGCAATATAAATCAAATTTTATTAGTAAAATGACATCTTTATCTACATGAAGATATTCAATTAAAAAGTGAAATGTGTAGTCAAAATTGAAACGTGCAAATGCAGAACAATGTTTTGCTCTTGTAACTTTTTTTTTGTTTAAAGTCAATAAAACAAATAAAAATAAACAAACGGGTAATTACACACGTTCATGCCCCCCACAGCCATATTAACTGTACACCTTAACTTTCACATGGTATATATCTATCATGTATCAGAAATAAATGTGCCTGCATAATGATAAATTACTAGTAATTAGGAACTTTAGTAATACAAAATGTTATAAGGTACTGTTTATATTTTGATATTGAAAAATCACAAACCATACCTTTACAATGTATATTGAGGATTAACACAATAAAACTGCATTTTGCTGGCAAGAAATTTCATATACTTTTGTTTAGTATTGTAGTAGCTAATATGCATGTATATATAACATCCTTCATCAAAACCAAGCACTAAATCAATATTATAATAAAAAATGAAGCACTAAACCACAAGGGCCAGATAAGGGTCATAAAGTGCTAATATACATGTATAGTCAATACCATCCATTATAATTTGTATGTCTTAGACCTGAGGATATTCCACAGAATAAAGAACATTTATTATTATTATAATCAAAAAGAAGCGCTAAGCCACAAGGACTATACAGCGCTGCAGGGCAGGAAGGAAGCGAGGGCATCAGGTGGCAAAAGGGAGATGGATGAGTAATAGGTTACAGATAACAGCGGGGTAGTGGATGGTGAAAGGGTAAAGGGCAGCAAGAGACTGAACTAGAAAGGGCTGAGGGGAGTGCGAAAACTATCATCAGAGTTTGTGGAGTAAATCAGTCATTGTCAATAAGTCAATGAGAGAGTCAGGATTAAAGGAGGGTCCATCGGCAAGAAGGGAAGGTAAAGAGAGAGTAGTAGAACGAAGACGATGTTGGAGGCAAATTCTGCGTGCACGTTGATAGACAGGGCAGTCTAACAGAATGTGGCTAATCGATACTGGAACTTGACACTGCTCACAGAGAGGAACAGGGTGCCTCTCCATGAGATACCCATGAGTAAGACGAGTGTGACCAATGCGAAGGCGGGAGAGAGTGGTCTCCCAACCTCAGCACTGATGACAAGAAGACGGCCAGTAACCAATGCTCGGTTTAATAGAATGAAGTTTGTTACCGAGCAGAGTTGACCAACGTTGTTGCCAACAGGTGCGAAGGTGGGTAGCTATTGCAGCAAAATAGTCCAGAAATGTAACACCTCGATAGGAAATTGGTAGGTCATGTACTGCTGACCGCGCAGCAGTGTCTGCCTGTTCATTGCCCTGTACGTCGACATGACCAGGGACCCAACAAAAAACAATATCTTTATGTTTGGTAGAGATACGGCGTAGCCAAAGTTGGATACGGAGAACTAGGGGATGAGATGTATCAAATTTTCGTATAGCCTATAGAGCACTAAGGGAGTCTGAGACCACTACAAATGATGACACAGGCATAGATGCGATATGAATAAGTGCTGTAAGAATGGCATACAGTTCAGCAGTAAAAATGCTAGCTGAAGATAGTAAATGTCCCCGCACGACTCTGCGAATCCGACGCCGTCTGAAGACTTACAGCCATCTGTGTACACAGCGGTGGCATGAGAATGGGAGTCGAAGTGATCAAGAAAAAGAGCGGGAAGCCACCGTAGGCAGTTGAGCTTTCGAGCAAGGGAGTGAGAAAGAACAGACACGAACAGCTGGAACTTCCCAGGGGGGTAGGGAAAAGTGAGATGCTACATGAACATATAAAGGTGGAAACTGAAGGGAAGACAAGAGTGACGGAGCAAACAGGGGCGGCGAACGAATAAAGAATGTCTACTGATATCGGTGACCATTCTATAAATGGAAGGATTGTGTAGATCGTGAGACCCGTACATAGTAGCGAAGGCAATGGGCATCACGGCGATCAGACAAGGATGGAACATTCTCTTCTGTATAGAGGCTCTCAACAGGGGAAGAGCGAAAAGCACCAAGGCACAAACGTTATCCTTGGTGATGGATAGAGTTAAGGCTAGAGAGAGTAGCAGGAGAGGCCGCGGAATAAATCTGGTCACCATAATCGAGTTTCGATAAAACGAGGGCTGAATGTGGGAAAAAGCAGAGTTCGACGATCAGCTCTCCAGGGAAGATGAGCAAGGGCTTTAAGAAGGTTTAGCCGGCGTGACAAGTTGCCTTCAGAGAGGTAATGTGGGGTTTTCCCAGGGTAACCGACGGTCAAAGAGAAGGCCTAAAACCTGACTGTATCACGTTCGGGGATACGGAGCCATAGAGATACAAAGGATGATGGGAAAGATAACAGAGTGTCTAGTGAAAGTAATTTGGCGAGTTTTGGTACTTAAAAATTTGAACCATGCGTGGTGGCCCAATTTGGAAACACTGTCGGCCTGCAATGCTGGAGAGAAACTGCAATAAGATGACAGTCAGCGCCTGCACAAGCAATAGCGAAGTCATCAACAGAGTGATGACCAAATATTGGGTGGAAGAACAGAGGCCAAATCATTTATAGCAAGGAGAAACAGTGTTGTGCTTAGAACACATCCCTGAGGAACACCTTCAGCTTGGACGAAGTCCGGGGAAAGAACATTATTGATTCGAACACGGAAATGTCTGTCAGTTAAAAAGTTCTTAAGGAAGGATGGTAGATTGCCTCAGAGGCCTAAGGAATGGGCTTGGGCTAAAATATTATACCTCCAAGTTGTGTCATATGCCTTCTCAAGGTCAAAAAATATGGAAATAACTGAGTGTTTAAATTCGCAAAGGCATTACGAACATACGTACCCAAGCTTTGGTAAGGGGTCTATGGTTAGAACGACCCTTACGAAAGCCATTTTGGGACTAGCGGAGAGACTGTTGTGTGTCTCCAAATACCACATTAAACGTCGATTTACGAGACATTCCATCACTTTGCAAACTGCACTAGTAAGAGCGATGGGGCGATAGTGGGAGGCATCATGTCCTGTAGTTACCCGGTTTCCGGAAAGGGAGAACAATGGCAGATTTCCCACAGCTGAGGAAGAACTCCTTGTGCCCAAATAAGATTGAAGGGGTGTAAGAGGATACAAGGGCTGACCGATGTAAATGTTGAAAACATACGAATAAGAATGTCGTCAGGCCCAGCTGCTGATGATCGGCAAGCTGAGAGCGTTGCCTCCAGTTCTTGAAGTGTAAAAGGCACATTATACTGTTCTTCTCTGAGAGAAGAAAAGTCCAGGGTACTAACTCTCTGGCAGACTTTGAGGAAAGAAACGGGGGGCATAGATGGAGCCCTCGGGAAATACGGACCAGATGTGTGCCAAGTTCAATGGCAACGTCGAGAGGGTTTGCTACATCAACACCAGCGACCCGGAGAACAGGAGCCGGGTCGGAGAGTATTTACCACTCAATTTCCTCACTTTTTTCCAGACTGCAACTCATAGAAGAAGCAGAGGTGATGGTGGAAACAGTTTTTGCCAACAAGTGCGTTTAGCTTCACGGATGACACGCGAGCGATCGCACGCTTCTGCTTAAAATCAAGAAGTCTCTCAGCGGTTCTATTGTCCGGTCCCTGCCCCATGCAGCATGTTTCAAACGTACTGCACGAGCACAAGCAGGAGACCACCAAGGCACGCACTTCTGAGAATCCCCTGCCTGAGGTTTGGGGTATAGAATGAGAAGCTGCGGTAAAAAAACTGACGTCGAGAAGAGTGTAGGAGTCATCAATGGAGGATGAAGAAGGAACCTCACTAAAAGCAGTGAGGTGCGAGTAAGATCCCAATTTGCTCGATCAAATTGCCAGCGGGGGCACGGAAAGGTGGTGAATGGGAAGGAGAAGTAAGAATGATCGGAAAATGATCGCTGTCATGTAAGTCTGGTAGAACAGACCAGGTGAAGTCTAGTGCAGTGGGGGAAGAGCAGACTATAGTTTCGATGCAAGAGAGAGTATGAGTACGAGGATCAAAATGGGTGGGAGTACCCATATTTAAAACATGGAAGGGGGTGAGAGGCGAGAAAAGCCTCCAACTGGATGCACGTGAGTCACAATGAGACCCCCCCCCAGAGGAAATGGTGGGCATTAAAATCACCAAGTAACAGAAGTGGTGGTGGTAAGGATGAAACAAGAAAGGCAAAGTCTGGGATAGAAAATGCTCGAGAAGGAGAGAGACAAAGAACATATTGTAAACCACTTGTTCAAGTGGATATGGGCTGCAGTGTAATGCAGCGAGGTATGGACAATTAGTTTGACAGTACGGAATATCATTGCGTAGAAGAAGGCACTTTCAATAAAGGTCCCATCTGAGAAAGGTTTCCCAAGAATACAATAAATTATAGCCTGAGATAGGTTGGAAAACAGCCGAGTGTAATTTTGGTTCTTGTAAGCAAGCACCAACAGGGGAAAACCTGGAAAGCAACATCTGAAGCTCACCCCGATTACCCCTGAGGCTGCGGATATTTTCCCCCGTAAATAGGCCATGATTGGCGATGAAGAAAATATCAGGAATCTGTAGGTAAAGGCACCTACGGACTAGAGGGGTTAGAAAAGTCAACCTGTGGTGGTATTGGAAGACGCTCAAGTAGCGAAGGAACGGAGCGTTGCAAAGAATGGGGTTGTGAAGATGGAGGAGAGGGAAAGAAGGAACAGGAAGTGAATCAGTGTCCATTGAAGGTTTAGTCTCTGCAATATATTCTGAAATGGCTTCAAGTGTTTCTGAATGTATGGGAGACCATATTGGAGATAGGAGGAGGAGGGTGAGTAAAGATTGGGACAGTAATGGACTGTACCAAAGTAGAGGGGGAGGGAAGAGTGTAAGGGGGCTGGAAAATGAAGTGTGGGGGGGGGCAGAAGAGGCAGAAACCTGGGAGGTGGCAGAAGAGGGAGAAATTTGGGAGGGTACGGGGGGGGAAGGCATAGTACGAGGGGGGAGGGTGAATCTCCACACTTGTAAAAGAGCCAGAGGGAGGGGAAGAACTAGGTACAGAGACTGGAAAGGTAAAGTGTGGAGGTGGAAGAAGGGAAGGAAGGGGCAAAGAAGATTTTAGCAATGTGGATTTTTTGGACTTCTGAGTAGAGGGGCGATTGGTATTAGGGTTCATACGAGGTCTTGTCGATACTGGGGGCTTTTGAGGAAGGACGCGAAGATGTGAGAACAGACTGAGTTGTAGTCGGGACTCAGAGCCAAGGACAGCAAAAGGATTAGATGCCGTAGTGGCTATGGGAGGGGTAACAACAGAGGAGGCTGCAGAAGACGGGACCCCAGAAGTGGGGGGATGTTTGGAAACACGGAATAAGAAACACGGGGTAGTCTCCTGGAGGCGGAGATGAAGTAACTGCCATAGCAAAGGGGAGACCTTCTGCCTCTTTGAGGCAACGGAAATTTCACGTTATTTAAGTAGACCTGGCAACGGCGGGAGTACGAAGGGTGAGCTTCATTACAATTAAGCAAAAATGGAGGTTGACTGCAAGATGTATTAGAATGGTCGTCGGCACCACAGACTGGGCATTCGGCTATAGATCTGCAATATTTCGCTGGGTGACCAAAATGCCAGCAAAATTTTTACACAGTTGCGGTGTAGGTATCACCTTTTGAACTTGTAACCGAGTCCCGTGACATACAGAGGACGGGAGTTCTCGGCTGTCAAAAGTTAAAGAGCCACTTTGCAATGGTAACGTCTCCACCCCCGGGGGAGGAAGGACTAAGTGTCTACTTTTAGGATTGGGAGATCCTGGAGTTCCAGCTGTTCAAGAATGTCATTGCCACATGACTGGAATTCTGTTTTGGGCTATGGTATGGGGCAGAATGACAAATACCATACAAAAAATGAGAGAAAGATGTTTTTCAATAGTGATAGGGGTTTGTATCGATTAATTTGAAAAGGAGAGAAAGATCATGAGCTTGGGTAAACATTCTGGACAGTGACGATGCGCATATCGCTCTTGAGAGCATGAAATGAAATATCTCTACCAACATGACGTATGAGCGCTTTGCCAATACTATGGTCAGAAAGGTAAGCAGAAGAAAAAGTCTGTCTTAAAGTAAAGAATTTAGTCCATTGTGTGGTCCGAAACTGAGCATGGAGAGGGAGTGCATGACGTGTCTGTCTTTTCCGAGTAGTATGGGAAGGTAACGAAGGAGCATCATCAGGAGATTGATGTTGGCGTTTAGGAGTAGGACCGGAGTTGGTCCGGTGTGAAATGGGCTGGCGATTCGAAAATTGCCGTACCGTGGAGGGAGAGGCCGGAAGCATAGTCAAAAAAGAGCGAAGGTCAGACAAATCGAAGGAGTCAGTTGAAGCCCCGGTACCTGAAGCGGGTGAAGAACCAGCACCAGCAAGAGGTACAGGGGCATCAGGAGTGTCCAAAGAGTGGTCTAAAAACAAGGCAGGGTCAGAATGGGGTGCGGTATCAAGAAGGGGCCCGGGGGTAGTGGGTTCAACGATTGGGTTCTCCATGGTTAGGTTACTAGTTTGCTTTTTGTTTTTAGGGAAAACCAAGAAAGAAAAGAAAATAAAAATAAAAAAAAAAATAAAAAAAGGGGAGCGGGGAGGAATAGTTCCCAGGAGGAATAAAAAGGCCGGAAATCTCCCTCCTCGCCCAAGAGGACCTCAGCACCGCTAGTAGCGCAGATGCAGCATGGAACCCATGCCGTGCCATACCCTACCCTACATGCCAGTAAACCAGCAATCCGGGACAGCAACCTCACATCTGCCGAGCTACCTTGGTGGACAAAAGAGAGGGCGGCCGGATATCCGCCACAAAGCATACCTCCTTTGGCCACCACCCCCGGAATCCGAAAGGTGGCTTCCAGAGATACACTCATCGCCAGAAAGACACCCAAAGCTACTCCAGGATATCGGAGAGGGATTGGGACATCCACAGGCGATCCAGATTCCACGGCAAACTACGCCACCACCAAGAATCTCAACGGAATGGGATGGACCCCGGAATCCTTTCCCCTACCTAGGAACTAGCGCGCCTGTGGGAGAAATCCCAAAGGCCAAAAAGAGGAAGGGCAAAAGGGAGGGGTGGGGAGGAGGAGGAAAGGAAAAAGGGAAGGATGGGAAAGGGGGGGGGGGGGGGTAATTAGGTTCGGTCTGAGGAAGGAGACCGACAGGTCTGATTCCTCAGACCAAGAGCCTCTTCACCACAACAAGGAGCCTTTCTACCAAATAATTATCTCATATTTGTTACAATAAGACAAAATTCAGCCAGCGAGTGTTTCATTAATGTCAATCGGTAATTCCATTATCATCAAAGGTTTCAGCAAGGCTTTAGATTTATATCACGACTTTAAGAGTGCAAGTCAAATGATTACAGTATAAACTGAACAATATATTTTGAAATTTGAGTAACCCACACAATACAATATTCTTCATATTATTACCTGGAAAAGTATGTTAAAGTTTGTGTTAAAGCTATTTAAATTATGTCTTAGGCCAATGTACATGGGCAAAGTCCTGTGAATACTTAAAAATGTCACGGCAGAAATTTGCCCCTTCCTGCATCGAGTGCAGGGTTATTTTTTGGTCACTTGTAATGAGAGTGGGTGAGAAATTAACAAATTTTGTTGAAAATAAGAAAAATTTTTGGAGTTATGCACTGCATGTGGCAGGATTTTTATTATACTGCACACACTGACCATGCAGATCCGTTCTTTCACATGTAGGTCTACCAGCTTTCTCTCGCTAGATTTGAAACCGCTAGAATTTTGGCGTAATATGGCACAAACACCGGCTTGCAAGCCTAATATGACATTGAAATTGAAAAGGTTAAGATGTTCTGCAAAGTCCATCAATCAGAAGGCTAAATCCACTGCATATGTATTTTCTCCGGTAGAACATGGGTGCCTCAATCCAACATGTTTTCCTTTAAACAAACATCCCCCCCCTCCCCACATTAGTTCGTAACACCAGAGGTATCTATTACTAAAGGTATAAACTTACTTAAAAACTTTCTTGCTCATTCAGCATGTATCCATCATCTGAAATACAAAACAGTGGCTGCTTAGAATTTAATTCAATTTACAAATACACAATCATGCACACTATTGATCAGTATCAATAATTAATCAGGAATCATGGGACTAACAGATTGTATTTCATAGCATCATTGTAACTAATTTTTTTTTCAAGGTTTTAATTAATATTTAAAAATTTCCTGCTGTGAGTAAATGCAGTCAAGTACACTTTTGAAAGAAAATATATCGGATGTTTTTTTTTTTACAGAACTTTGTAAGTAGCTCTAATATCTATAACAGATTTGCCTCCACCACTTCCTTATCCAATATGAAGATTTCGTTACTTTGTCAACTAAATTAACTAATAATGTACACCGACAATATTCAAAATTAAATGCAAATTTTTGAAAACTCTCAATTGCATTTACACCAGATTTCATAATACAGAAGAGTTTCATAAGAGATGATTGTATTCAATTTAAAACTCAATAAAGTAAATACAGCATTCATGTTGAGAATAGACTTACTTTTAGTGCAGATGGTTACCGTTGCTCTTCCTCTTCTTTCTCGTCCTGCAAAATACATAGTGTAAATTTATGCCGTTGCCAAATAATTGCTTTTCAAATTCATGTCAATCAGAAAAAATTCAGCCGGTGAGCGTTTCATTATTTTCAATCGGTAATTCCATTATCAAACTAAAGGCTTTCATCTGGGGAGTGAAAATCGAATGACTACAGTATAAATTAAACAATATATCTTGAAATTTGAGTAACCTACACAATATATTCATCTTCAAATCCCAAAGAGTTAAACATGTACAGCAGTTGGGTATCTTTAATACCGAAGCATTTCACCTATGCGGTAGGTTTTGTTAGTCAAATACACGTTGATGGACCGATTAAATCTTTACTTCGCCATTACCGCTGCCTATTATACATTCTCTTCTGTATCTGACTGACAAAGCCTACCGTGTAGACGAAAAATTTCAGCATTAAGGGCATCCAACTATTGTACTTGTTTCTTGTTTGTCTGTATTTTTACCATTTTCAACACCTTCAAATTATTCCCTGCAAAAGCAAATTAGTGTTAAAGCTATAATAATAAAACACACACACACACACACACACACAGTGGACCCCTGGTTTACGATCACCTCCAAACGCAACCAATTATGTAAGTGTATTTACGTAAGTGCGTTGGTATGTGTATGTTAGGGGTCTGAAATGGACTAATCTAATTCCAATATTCCTTATGGGAACAAATTCGTTCAGTATTATTATAATCAAAAAGAAGAGCTAAGCCACAAGAGCTATACAGCGCTGCAGGGCAGGAAGGAAGCGAGGGCATCAGGTGGCAAAAGGGAGATGGATGAGTAATAGGTTACGGATATCAACGGGGCAGTGGATGGTGAAAGGGTAAAGGGCAGCAAGAGACTGAACTAGAAAGGGCTGAGGGGAGTGCGAAAGGTATCATCATCAGAGCTTGTGGAGTAAATCAGTCGTCGTCAAGAAGTCAATGAGAGAGTCGAGGTTAAAGGAGGATCCATCAGCAAGAAGGGAAGGTAGAGAGAGAGTAGTAGAAGGAAGACGACATAGGAGGTAAATTCTGCGAGCTCGTTGATAGAGAGGGCAGTCTAACAGAATGTGGCTAATCGATACTGGAACTAAACACTGCTCACAGAGAGGAACAGGGTGCCTCTCCATGAGATACCCATGAGTAAGACGAGTGTGGCCAATGCGAAGGCGGGAGAGAGTGGTCTCCCAACCTCGGCACTGATGACAAGAAGACTGCCAGTAACCTATGCTCGGTTTAATAGAATGAAGTTTGCTACCGAGCAGAGTTGACCAACGTTGTTGCCAACGGGTGTGAAAGTGGGCAGCTATTGTAGTAAAATAGTCCAGAAATGGAACACCTCTATAGGAAATTGGTAGGTCATGTACTGCTGACCGCGCAGCAGTGTCTGCCTGTTCATTGCCCTGTATGTCGACATGACCAGGGACCCAACACAAATCAATATCTTTATGCTTGGTAGAGATACGGCGTAGCCAAAGTTGGATACGGAGAACAAGGGGGCGAGATGCATCAAATTTTTGTATAGCCTGTAGAGCACTAAGGGAGTCTGAGACTACCACAAATGATGACACAGGCATAGATGCGATACGAATAAGTGCTGCAAGAATGGCATACAATTCCGCAGTAAAAATGTTACCCGAAGATAGTAAATGCCCTCGCACGACACTGTCCGGAAACACTGCTGCGAACCAGACATCGTCTGAAGATTTAGAGCCATCTGTGTACACAGCGATGGCATGAGAATGAGAGTGGAAGTGATCAAGAAAGAGAGAGCGGGAAGCCATTGTAGGCAGTTGGGCTTTCGAGCAAGGGAGTGAGAAAGAACAGACCCGAAAAGCTGGAACTTCACATGGGGGTAGGGAAAAGTGAAATGCTACATGAACATATAAAGGTGGTAACTGAAGGGAAGACGAGCGAATGTAGGCGAAGAGAAAAGGGACGGAGCAAACAGGAGCGGCGAACAAATAAAGAATGTCTACTAATATCGGTGACCATTCTATAAATGGAAGGATTGTGGAGATTGTGAGAGCGTACATAGTAGCGAAGGCAATGGGCATCACCGCGATCAGGCAAGGATGGAACATTCGCTTCTGCATAGAGGCTCTCAACAGGGGAAGAGCGAAAAGCACCAAGGCATAAACGTAATCCTTGGTGATGGATGGGGTTAAGGCTAGAGAGAGTAGCAGGAGAGGCCGCTGAATAAATCTGGTCACCATAATTGAGTTTCGATAAAACGAGGGCTGAATATAGGCAAAGCAGAGTTCGGCGATCAGCTCCCCAGGAAAGACGAGCAAGGGTTTTAAGAAGGTTTAGCCAGCTGTGACAAGTTGCCTTCAGAGAGGTAATGTGAGGTTTCCAGGATAACCTACGGTCAAAGAGAAGGCCTAGAAACCTGACTATCACGTTTGGGGATACGGGAGCCATAGAGATACAAAGGATGATCGGAGATGTCAGAGCGTCTAGTGAAAGTAATTTGGTGAGTTTTGGTACTGGAAGATTTAAACCCATGCGTGGTGGCCCAAGTGGAAACACAGTCAACCGCATGCTGGAGAGAAACTGCAATGAGATGACAGTCAGCGCCTGCACAAGCAATAGCGAAGTCATCAACAGAGTGATGACCAAAGATTGGGTGGAAGAACAGAGGCCAAATCATTTATAGCAAGGAGAAAAAGTGTTGTGCTCAGAACACATCCCTGAGGGACACCTTCAGCTTGGACCAAGTCCGGGGAAAGCACATTATTGACTCGAACACGGAGGTGTCTGTCAGTTAAAAAGTTCTTAAGGAAGGATGGTAGATTGCCTCGGAGGCCTAAGGAGTGGGCTTGGGCCAAAATATTATACCTCCAAGTTGTGTCATATGCCTTCTCAAGGTCAAAAAATATGGCAATAACCGAGTGATTATTTGCAAAGGCATTACGAACATACGTATCCAAGCGTAATAAGGGGTCTATGGTAGAACGGCCCTTACGAAAGCCATATTGACCAGCGGAGAGACTGTTATGAGTCTCTAAATACCACATTAAACGGCGATTTACCAGACATTCCATCACTTTGCAAACTGCACTCGTAAGAGCGATATGACGATAGTGGGAGGCATCATGTCCTGTAGTACCCGGCTTGCGGAAAGAGAACAATGGCAGATTTCCACAGCTGGGTAAAAACTCCTTGTGCCCAAATAAGATTGAAGAGGTGTAAGAGGACTACAAGGGCTGACTGATGTAAATGTTGTAACATACGAATATGAATGTCGTCAGGCCCAGCTGCCGATGATCGGCAAGCTGAGTGTGTTGCCTCCAGTTCCTGAAGTGTAAAAGGCACATTATACTGTTCTTCTCTGAGAGGAAAAAAGTGAAAGGGTACTAACTCTCTGGCAGACTTTGAGGAAAGAAACGAGGGGCATAGATGGAGCCCCCGGAAATACGGACCAGATGAGTGCCAATTTCAATGGCAACGTCAAGAGGGTTTGCTACATCAATACCGGCGACCCGTAGAACAGGAGCCGGGTCAGGAGAGTATTTACCACTCAATTTCCTCACTTTTTTCCAGACTGCACTCATAGAGGAAGCAGAGGTGATGGTGGAAACAGTCACCAGCAAGTGTGTTTACCATCACTGATGACACAGCGAGCGATCAAACGCTTCTGCTTAAAATCAAGAAGTCTCTTATTGGTTTTATTGTACCGGTACCTGCCCCATGCAGCGCGTTTCAAACGTACTGCACGAGCACAAGCAGGAGACCACCATGGCACGCACTTCTGAGAATGATTGCCTGAGGTTTGGGGTATAGAATGAGAAGCTGTGGTATAAACTGACGTCGAGAAGAGGTGTAGGAGCTCATCAATGGAGGATGAAGGAACCTCACTAAAAGCAGTGAGTTGCGAGTAAAGGTCCCAATTTGCCCGATCAAATTGCCAGCGAGGGCTACAGAAAGGTGGTGAATATGAAGGAGAAGTAAGAATGATTGGAAAATGATCGCTGTCATTTAAGTCCGGTAGAAGAGACTCGGTGAAGTCTAGTGCAGTGGAGGAAGAGCAGACTGATAGATCGATGCAAGAGAGAGTATGAGTACGAGGATCAAAATGGGTGGGAGTACCCGTATTTAAAACACGGAGGGGGTGAGAGGGGAGAAGAGCCTCCAACTGGATGCCATACGAGTCACAATGAGACCCCCCAGAGGAAATGGTGGGCGTTAAAATCACCAAGTAACAGAAGTGGTGGTGGTAAGGATGAAACAAGAAAAGCAAAGTCTGGGATAGAAAATGCTCATGAAGGAGAGAGATATAAAGAACATATTGTAAACCACTTATTCAAGTGGATACGGGCTGCAGTGTAATGCAGGGAGGTATGGACAAATAGTTGACAGTACGGAATATCATTGCGTAGAAGGGCACTTTCATTAACCCTTCGAGGGTTTCGGCCGTACTAGTACGGCTTACGATCCAGGGTTTTTGACGTACTAGTATGCCTAAATTCTAGTGCCCTCAAATCTAGTGGGAGAAATCTGGTATGCCTATATATGAAAGAATGGGTCTATGTGGTCAGTGTGCACAGTAAAAAAAAAATCCTGCAGCACACAGTGCATAATGAGAAAAAAAAACTGACGCTGTTTTTGGAATAAAACAGCGGCTTTGCACTGTATTTTCGTATGGTATTTATTGTTGTATTCTAGTTTTCTTGGTCTCATTTTATAGAATGGAAGACATATTACAGAAACTGAGATGATTTTGACTGGTTTTATAATGAAAAAGTCCCTTGAAATTGAGCTCAAAGTAGCAGAAATGTTCGATTTTTACCAAAGTTCAAAAGTAAACAAATCATGCCAAGCGTCCAATACATGTCAACTGGTGAGTCTAATATTCTTTTGCAAGTGTGCCAATATTATTTATACCATTTTTTACACTAATGCAGTAGTCTGCGTAACAGTAAATCTTCTATTTTTTGTGAGAATAAAAATTCAAAGTGGAAAGCAAAAGAATGTAAGAGGGGGATTGAGACGTGAC